GGAAGTTTCACCGTTGTGTCGTGGAACACTCGTTTGAAAGGGGTGTCGGCCGCAAAGAAGTTATGTAGGGAACTCCGGATCTTTACAGGTGGGATTGTTTTTGCTTTTTTTGGTTGCAAGACGTTTTGGCATGGTTTAAACTGCATGGGAAGACTTATTCTGCACATGCCGTCTTAGCTGCTGATAATTGTGATTGTGCCCTTATTATTCCTAGACTCGGGATGCGGGCGTGCAGGGATGTGAATTTCGGTACTGATTGGTATGGTGCTGTCATTGAGAATTCAATTCATCTCAGCACATCTTTTAGACCATCATGTAGAGGATGGGTGGGCGAATCAGGTGTTTGAGGAAACTGAATTATTTGTCCACCGCACTCGTGCCTCTTATAGTTCCACAGTTTTCGAAGTGGTTGTGGATTTGGATGCAAACGTTCAATTTCCTGCCCACTAGGGACCACTCGGGGACGCGGTGATGTTACCTAGATTGAGCCACTCTCCAGCCAAAGTCTCTGCAGTGGGTGCTTGGTTAGACAATCTCGGGGTTCGTTTGTTGAATACCTTCCACTGTTCTGGCGTGGAAGAGGCGTTTTTAAATTTGAGTCGCATGTGGACTCATATTGATAGCAGCAATCGTACTCACAAGTGCCTGCTGGACTACATAGGAGTGCATTCGGGGATCGAGGGGTTTGCTTGGGCTCGGAGGCCGAACCACAAAATCTTCAAGCGCTCCGATCTTCGCCCAGTCTTGGCCTCTATAGATCATGTTTCCTTTAGGAATACAGGTGGCCACTTCCAGCCTTCGCTGAAGGGATGGGCCCATACGGCGGCCTCCGATGCGGAACAGTTCAAGCAGCTCGCAGTGGACGGAGGAGCTGGGGACCTACCAGAATTTCATTGCATTGTCGTGGAGGCCGCCCGCTCGATTCAGCATGACACTGCTCATACATGGCGCCGGCGGACGGCGCGGGAATCGAACATCCCAGTCAAGCTCGCGAGCAGGGCAGTTGCCCCCGCCTCTGATGACCGTCGTCGTGAATGCGTCCTCCAACTACGGCGCGCGGTGCGGGCAGCTAAGAAGTCCAAGAATAGCCGGCATCTTCAGAGCGTTCGCGCTGGGCGAGCACAGCAACGAGCACCAGTAACTTTAAAAGGTGGCGTCCGAACTGCCGACCGCGAGGCTTGGAAAGTGGCCCTGTTCGAATTCGGTCAGAGTCGCTTTGGGGATCCTTCCAACCATTTCAATGCGCAAGAGGGCCACATGGATACGCTGGCGCAAGTGCAGCGTAACAATCGACTGGGCGGACATCGACGCGTTGAGTTGCGACCCTTCGACGTCCTTACGGGCAGGGCCAAACTGAAATCCGGATCAGCCCCTGGTACTGGCGGTGCCGCGGCCGAGGTTTACAAGACATTGCCCCCTCCTCAGCGTGTACCGTTTTTGGGAGCTGTTCGGTCACAGACATAGTGGTTTTCGTTCTCCAGATCCGCCGTCGTAGAAACTCATCGACTTCTGTGTGTTCCCGAAGACGTCCGAGTTGGATGAGTTCGGGGTGTTCGTTTGATTGGAAAGCTCGACGTGTGTTGTAAATGGTATTCATTGTGCTTGCAGCCTTCTTTGCAGAGATCGTTACCACCTTGCCCAGTAGCCACATGTGGCTCCCGAGCGGGATGTGAGTGCAACGATGTCGTATCTATAGTTCGCCAATGCGTATTCTTATTTTCGCGCTGGGGCAAAGGCTTGGTTCTCGGTTCGCTTGATATCAAAACTGCCTTTGAGACGATGCGTCACGACACGATGTTCGCCACGATGGTGGCCAGAGGCGTTCCCCAATCCCTAGCTGCAGCGTTTCTCAGGGAAGTCACCGGCATGCAGTGCAGCATGGAAGTTCAGAGGTCTACGCCATGCGACCGTTTCCTCCTGGAGGGTGGAGGTAAGCAAGGCGGCGTTGAAACTCCGGCGATCTTCAATATTATGTTGGAGCGGTCGGTGTCTGATTTGCAGGCGAGCTGGGAACGGAGGAACTTTGGATTCCAGTTTGATCGGGCGGACGTCCCTCCGATATCGCACATCATCTTGGCCGATACCATCTACCTGTTTGCCGCAACAGTGAGCGACTTCATGGTCATGGCGCAGGGGCTCACGGAGGCGATGCTGCTTCTCGGCTTCCGCTGGATGCCATCTTCGTTGGCATGTATGTTCTGTGTTTTTTGGCGATTGCCGCACCCGGCCTTCGGTTCTGCAGGATGCTGACGAATTGTCGTTCGATGTGGCCGGAGAGTTGGAAATTTTAGGGGTCCTGGTGAGCAGGGAGGCGGACGCGCACACGAGCATGGAACACCGCTTAGCTAAGGCTGGGGGCACCTACTGGAGCAACGCCCGCACTCTCCGCGGCCCAGGTTCTTTCGTCGAGAAGCTGCGAGCGTGGGCGAGTGGGCCTGCAACGAGCGCCGCGCACGGTTTTGGCACGTGGCACCTGGCGCAACTCGTTGTGGCGGACCTCCCGACGCATCTAACATTGGTTTCGGAAAACTCGTGTGCGACCTCTGCATCTTCGCGTTCACCGACTGGCGTGAGGTGCGGGAGAAATATACTTCGCAAAGTGAGTGGATGGGGCTATACCCGGCTTTCGAAGCAGACGTCTGCTTAAAATGGGGCCTCTTCGCGCTCCAAGACGCTTCGGACCATAGCCTTGGCCCTGCGCGCACAGAGCCGAAAAGCCGAAGACTATATGAGCACTCGTTGGAGATCGTTCCATCCAGCCACGGAGTTGGCGCTCCAGCGGAGATTTTCCAAAGCACGTCTTTGCGATTCGCCATCTTTACAGATTGCAAGCCTTCGGCGAGGGTTGTCAACGGTGAGAGCGCTCTGACACACCTTACCTTGGAGCCGGTTTTCAATCGCGCGTCGCGTAGGATATTTGACATGCTGTCTCGAGGGTGGAAACCATCCCGTGACATCGATCACGCAGTGCATTGGCGACCACGTGAGTTTAGTACGATTGCTGACCATTTAGTCATCCACACCACGGACTCAAAGAGTTTATGATCACATGCCTTTCCGTGGCCAGATGGTCTTCTCCGCATCAATACTACTAATTTGATTTTGCATTTAGACGGCGGCACCCTGGTTTACTCTTGCTCGGCGGCTGCTTGGTAGCTAGAAAGCGCGGCTGGCCAGAGGCGCTTTCCGGTCGCCATGGCCGGCACCTTCATACAAAACCCAATAGCATCATTTGAAGTTGAAGCCCTCGCTCTCGACGAGGCTGTTGAGGCGTTGGCGCATTTTGTATCATATCGCATTCGGCTGTCAGCGTGCTGACCTGAGCTCCTGTGATAGAAAGAAACGAGGAAGAAGAGAATCTCGGGGAGGAGCCGAAATGAGAATGCTGGTGGTGATGATGGCGATGATGGTGGTGACGATAATGGCGATTGTGATGGAGATGTGGTGATGATGGTAATGCTGCTGGTGATGATGATGGCTACGACGATGTTGATGATGGTGATGTCGATGATGATGATGACGGGTAGCATGACGAGGACGAGGAGAAACACGACGGGACAGAGAGGAGCATGCAGCATGACGGGGAGGAGAAACACGTGAAGCCGAGGGAGGATACCGGCGACAAGCAGGAAGATAATAACGGGGATGTGTTGAGATGATGATGATGACGACGATGTCGATGCTGATTTTCGTGTTGATGCTCATGGTGATTATGATTATGAGGGTGGTGATGCTGCTGGTAATGATGGTGTCGCTAATGATGCTGGTGACAACGACGACGACTACGATGATGATGCAGATGAGGATGCTGATGATGCTGCTGATGATGATGCTGGTGATGATGGTGGTGAGGATGATGCTGTTGATGGTGTGGTGGTGATGATGAGGAAGCGGATGATGATGATGATGATGATGATGATGGTGATGATGGTGATGAGGATGATGAGGATGATGATGGTATGGATGAGGATGCTGATGGTGATGATGATGATGATGATGATGATGATGATGATGATGAGGATGTTGTTGATGATTGAGGGGCAGCATGATGAGGTGGAGGATGGGAAGGAGTGCAATATGCAGCATGACGGGGAGGATAACCATATGAAGGGGGAGGAAGCTATGGGCAACGAGCAGGAAGAGGAGAACGGGGAGGAGCGGAGATGATTCATGATGATGATGATGCTGATGATGATGGTGATTGGGATGGTGATGATGACGATGTTGTTGCTGTTGTTGGTGATGGTGCTGATGATGATGGCGATGATGACGATGATGACGATGATGACGATGATGACGATGGCGATGATAATAATGATGATGATGATGATGATGATGATGATGATGATGATGATGATGATGATGATGATGATGATGATGTTGGTGATGATGATGTACCCATGATGCTGCTGATGCTGCTGATGCTGATGATGGTGCTGATGATGTTGCTGCTGATGACGCTGATGATGACGATGTTGACGACGCTGACGACGACGAAAAATACGACAGCTGTGATGATGATGCTGCTGATGATGATGCTAGTGCTGATGATTATGATGATGCTGCCGATTATCATTAACTATTGTGATGATGCTGCTGATGATGATGCTGATGATGGTGATGTTGCTGATTCTGATGTTGACTATGATGATGGTGATGATGCTGATGATGATGATGATGCTGATGGGGATGCTGCTGCTGAGGATGATGATTATTATAAGTACTAGTCTTAATATTATTTTTATGATTCATGATGTTGATGAGGAGCAGGAGGAGGAGGAGGAGGAGGAGGAGGAGGAGGAGGAGGAGGGCATGGCTCAACAGGAGGAGGAGGAGGCGAAGGAAGAAGAGGGCGAGGGAGAGGTGCACTGGCGGCTGTGGTGCGGTGATGGCACGGGCGAGGCGACAGCCAGCCACGCCAGCGGCAGCAGCAGCAGCAGCAGCGGCAGTGGCGGCGGTGGCGGTGGCGACGGCTCCGGCTGGCCGCTGCCGCCTCGGAGGCGCCGGCTGGCGGACCACAGGGTGAGGGTGCCCTACCTTGACCTAGGCTCGATCGCGCGGCATGCCTCCGAGAGGATGAGGACGCATACGCCTGTGCGCCCTCTCGCGTCGTGCAGAACTAACTCGCGGCGGGAGTTTGTTCTGTCAGCTTTCGGCCTTGAGGGGCCCTTGCTGGGCTCAGGGGGCGCCAAGATCTGGCTCAGGGCGAAACGCCAGGGGCGAGCGCTGTGAACAAGTCATGGCGGCGGGGGTCCGGGGGGCCATGCGGGTCAGGTCTCGCAGGGACATGGCCGCGCGGAGGCTCCGAGCGTTCTTGCTTACTCGCTCCTCGGGAGGGGGAGGAGGAGCAGGAGGAGGAGGAGGAGGAGGAGGAGGAGGAGGAGGAGGAGGAGGAGGAGGAGGAGGAGGAGGACGGTTGATCTCTCAAGGGCGCCGCTCGCAAGACGGAGCCGGCTTCAGCGTCGAGGCGCCTTCGGGGGCGACTTGGCACGCCTGCGCTTCGGGGGGCCTCCTGGGAGGCCATCGCCGCCGCGGCTGGACTCTCTCGCCCTTGGAGTGCTGTCCAGGGCGCGCTCCCTCCCAGACAGGGGCCAGGGGCTGACCCTTTGCAGCATGCTTCGGCCTGGGCCCGGCACGCCCCCCCCCCTTCCTCACCTCGGGGGCGCCCTGGGGAGAAGGGGGGGGAGGCGGACCGGGGTGCGTGTTGGTATCGTGGCCGGGGCCACGATGTCTTCCAGACCTCGCGGTCCCGCCTTCCTCTCGGGCCGGACGAAAGGGGGGGATTGGGAAAGGGGGGGTTACGAAATTTGCTGCATGCAGCTGGTTTCGGCCCCGCCGAGGGGCCCATTCCTCGATACATAGCCGCCTCCGGCGCCGGGAGGCGCCGGGAAAATCGGCTACGCGAGCTGATTCTCAACCCCCCCCTTTGCTATCCCCCCCTTTCGCCCGACCCGATCCTCATGTCTCCACACGTCCTCTGGCCCTCCCTCGTCCGCGCACGTGCCTCGGCCCGCGGTGCTGCGGTCAGGACTGGCCGCTCCGCGTGTCGCGCGCCGCCAGCGGTGGCCCACGACGCTTTTTGGAGCGACACGCGCACCGCCTCCCAGCTTCCACGCGGCAGCGCCCCGGGCATCTGCCAGCCTCCCGCCCTTTGAAGTTGAGTTTCACGCTTGGCATCGCTCGGACGTGTGCATTTTTCCTTCGGCGAGGACCATCGAGGAGCATCCTTGATCATTTGGCAAAAAAAACACGCACGAAACACACAAAACACAGGGAATGGACGTCCGAGCGATGGCCAGCACGCCATCCGCTTGCGAGGCATGGCGCGTCGCCGGGGGCGCCGCCGCGACACGCTGTACGCAAGCGCTCCAGACCGTCAAGCCCCCGTCTTCAGCACACCGGATCACCTCCGGGCGAGCGAGCGGGCACGCCGCGCGCACAGGCAGAGGCGGGGCGGGGCGGTCGCCTGACGGCCGCGCGGGCTCGCACGGAGGCCGTGTGGGGTGCTCGCGCGATGCACTGCTTTCGGGGGTGGACAGAAACCCCAACAGTGACACGTCGATTAGTGAATTGTTCGTTTTCGGTTTTCGAGAGGGCGCCGTGGCCGTTATTTTCCAGGCTTGCGCCCGCCAGGTTTGGGCCTCAGGTCGTTTTCACTAAACCACGTTTTGCTAAAGGGGGGTCTGTCCATCCCCGATGGTTGGCTGTCGTTCGGTGGTGCCAGGCAGCCCAGCGCCCTCGAGGGGAGCCTTTCCTCGTTCTTCCCCTGGCCGTTCGAACTCGATGCAATATTTAGAGGGCGGGCGAGTTCCCTTGAGGCCTCGTCGAGGGCGAATGGCTGGCTTCTGCTCCGAGTGCGCTGCAAGGCGAGTGAAGAAACGTGCCACCGCCCTGCCTGTTTCCAGGTCCTGGGGCCCGCCCGGATTCATCTAGCTCTCCCAAGCCCGCGTTCAGCGACGGGGGGTCGAGAGTCCGACGCACATGCCGATCTTGCCACCTGCGACTGCTGCCGCCGCAGCTGCAGCTGCTGCTGCTGCTGCAGCTGCTGCGAGTGCTACAGCTACTTCTCGCGCTGCCACTGGCACTGGCGCTGACCCTGGGTCAGTACTCGTCCCAGCTCTAGTTCTGATGCTGCAGACTCTGTTTCTCCTACTGCCCCTACAGATTCACTGCATCTCCTGCTGCCTCCACTGCTTCGGCTGCCCCCCTCCCCTTCTGTGCCCGTGCTGTTCTTCTCAACTCGGCATGATGCTGGCCTCTTACGTCGCGTGCTGATCAGAAGAAGGTGCGCGTCGCAAGATTCGATCCTGGGGGCTCCGCTTTCCTCTCGCCTCTGGCTCCTGCTCACTGGGACAGGACCCTGTTGCCTGTGACCGCCCTCAGGCCAGCAGCGACTACCCTCGGTGCGGAGGAGATTGAGGAGTGGGGGGGGGGGCAAGGGAAGGAGGCGAAGAGGAAGAGTTTTTTTTGTTTTGTTTCAGCGCGGCAAGCAAAGCAGTGAAGCACCTGCTGTCGGGCGTGGCGAGCATCACCTCCACGACGACCAGAATGCCGAACGCGATGACCACATGGACACCTCCCCCAGGACGCGCCCTCGTGGACGTCGAACCCGAGGGACTACAGGACGAGGCCCATCTCGAGAACCGCGTAAGACCATAGCCGGCGAGCCACGGCGCGCATGACGTAGTGATACCACTGAGCCAGTACAACAAAGAAGTAGTACGGTGGGGCAGGACAAACAGCAATACACGACAATGCCCAAGCCGAGTGCCACCGAGCACGACCAGGGCGTTCAGCTGCGGGAAATCGATACGGGCTAAATGCTGTAACGCCCCCCCCCCCCACGGAGATGAGAACGACGAATACGACACCTTTAAGCTGTAAGATGTGCGAGGTACGGCGGTGACATCTCGAATATTCGCAAGGATGATACACAGGGCGGCAACGCCCGCACAACCACCACTGCACCCCGCCTTTCCGCACTCCCCTAAAATGGGGAAGGTCATTGGCACGGAAACAATCGTGGGGAATAGCGTGAGCAGTATTTCCAGTATGAACCCGAACGGGCCAACGAACATTTTGCGCACATGCGAAGATGACAGACATCGATAACACATTTCCGGGGCAGATCTACCACAACTCCCCCCTTGGTGAGGGAGACGAGGATGATGATGATGCTGATGATGCTGCTGATGATGATGATGACAATGCTGACAATGATGATGATAATGATGATGATGATGATGATGATGATGATGATGATGATGATGATGATGTTGATGATGATGATGATTATGATGATGATGATGATGATGATGATGATGATGCTGATGCTGATGCTGATGCTGATGCTGATGCTGATGCTGATGCTGATGCTGATGATGAGGAGGATGAGAATGAAGATGAGGATTAGGATGAGGATGATGATGCTGATGATGCTGCTGATGATGATCATGATGATGATGGTGGTGGTCGTGGTGATGATGATGATGATGATGATGATGATGACGATGATGATGATGATGATGATGATGATGATGATGATGATGATGATGATGATGATGATGATGATGATGATGATGATGATGATGATGATGATGATGATGATGGTGGTGTGGTGGTGGTGGGTGGTGGTGATATAATGGTGATGAGGAAGAGGAGGAGGAGGAGGAGGAGGAGGGAGGAGGAGGAGGAGGAGGAGGAGGAGGAGGAGGAGGAGGATGAGGAGGAGGAGGAGGAGGAGGAGGAGGAGGAGGAGGAGGAGGAGGGGAGGAGGAGGAGGAGGAGAGGAGGAGCAGCAGGAGGGGGAGGAGGGGGAGGAGGAGCAAGAGGAGCAAGAGCATGAGCGGGGGAGGAGGAGGAGGAGGAGGAGGAGGAGGAGGAGGAGGAGGAGGAGGAGGAGGGAGGAGGAGGAGGAGGGGAGGAGGAGGAGGAGGAGGAGGAGGGGGAGAAAGAGGGTCCGGAGAGGCGGACGAGGCGGAAGCGCCGCTAGAGAAAACGCGGCGTGCGCACGGGATGCTCGGCGCTGGGACGCCGTGGAGGGCCTTCTCGGCCCCCCTTTCCCCGGCCGCACTGGATCCAGCCGGGGCCGGCTGGCGCTCTTCTAGCTTCCGACGAGCGCCGACTGGAGGCGCCCCGAAGGGGCCCCTGACGTCCTCGCGTCGTGCCAGCAAGAAACGAGGGACGGTTGCGAACAGTTTTCGGCTCCCAGGGCCGTCGAAGGCCGACTCAGGATGGAGGGCCAGCCCCTGGGAAGCTGCCCATGCGCTGGGGAGTCGCGCCGAGAAGAGGTCTTGACGTCGGCTGTCCCAGGAGGCTCGGCGTCGGCGGCGCTGGCAGGGACGAGGGCGGGGCGCAGGAGGGCCTGCTCAGATGGGCACCCGCGCAGGGCAGCGGAGAACGACGGCCCTGCCCAGACGTGCCCGCGCCGCGGGAAAATCAGGGCGGGGTGCTTTTGGCAGTGTATCGGCGGTTCAAAACATATGGGGTCCTGAGGGATGGGGTCCCAAGGATTGGCAGGGAACCCAGGGTGGATCATTTTGTTTGAGGCGCCTCGTCCTCAGGACCCCATCCCTGAGGACCCCATCGTTGAGCCGCCGAGTTTGGGGCCTCCGGGGGCCCTCACTGGGCCCCGGCACCTTCAAGAGGTTCGGGACTGTCGGGACCGCACATTTATAACCATCAGGGCGTCGCGTGTCTGGGATGACGGAGCACGCGGGCGCTGGGTAGAGGCTCCGAGCCGACCTCCAGCCCCAGACGTCCGACGTCGTGACGTTCCGCAGCGGGTCGCCCCAGAAATTTGGGCTCAGGGCGCGAGCAAGACGTTTCCTTTTGTATGTTTGCATCCCGTTTTCGTTTCCCCGTTTTGGTTTCGGGCGCCAGCGCGGGGCCGTCTTGTCTGCGCGGGCGACGGTGTGGCGCAAAACGGGTGGCGTGGGAGACGGCGCCGTTTTCGCTTCCTTCCATCGTTCTGAGCGCCAGCGGCGTTCAAAACAAGAACGACGTTTTGCTCGCGCCCTGCTGGACCCCTTCCCAGGGACACGCGCTGCAACGTTCTGTTGACGGCCCTGGGGCCTTGCAAGGGCCCCAGGAGGCCGAGAACTGCTAGAACACATTATGTAATCGGTAGCGCCAGCGGCCGCGTGCGCGGGGGTTCGAGGCTGGCGGGGCGCGCCGGGCGCGCGGCGCGCGCAGCGGGTGGGAAAGCAGAGAGCGGCCGCGGATGAGGATCGGATAGGACAGGGCCGATTTCGAAGCGAGTTTCAGTTACCACCCTCGAGTTGGGTATTCGACCCAGCCCTGGCAACGAGGCTCTTTATATTTGGGCCACTTGCCGTCGAGGGTTCTACTGGTATAGATTGGTCGTGTGGGGACGGGAGGTGTGATGGACTGACTCCTTCAGTTGGCCGTGGCAGTGTACCAAGAACCTGGCACTTTGGAGAGACCCATCAACCGTACACTCCCGTAACAACCACACTGACTGCAGAACCATAACATCAAATCCAGATGAAATAACATGCCGTGAGTGGGATGTGTAACCCCTCCTCCAATGTTGATTGCTCCGACCCTTGGGCCAACGAGACCATTTGGCATCCTAAGGGATTCACTCGACACACTCGCTGTTCCGCCACGGTGTGAGTCGGGCTTGGGAGGCACTGCGACGGCACCGCTGAGCACAAGCAGCAGCAGAGGGAGGCGGACGGTGCTCCTTTTTGCCTTCGGGCTCGTGTGTCCCCCCTTCGTCCAGCACAGCTTCGAGGTTGGCTCTGAGCAATCGGCGAACGATGAGCCTTGGCGTCGTGTTCCGCCAAAAGGGCGCGAGTCCTCGTGGCGGCATCGAGCCTGGCCTCGGAGGCCGCCGGGCCCGCCAGTTCAATTCGTCAGCCGAAGTGCTACCCAGTGCGAGCCATTGATGAGACCTCGAATGAATTACGTAGATCACTCGCGTCTTGATGCGAGGCGACCTGCAAAACTGTGTCGGTTGAGAATTCCCTGGGGGAGCCGAGCTTGCCCAGCTGGGCCCAAAGGTCCCCGTTGTCCCTTGCAGGAAGACGAACGCGTTCACGCTGCCACCCTATCATCACCGCTTCGATACCCGTGCTCAGAACTCGTGGACCCGACGTGTATTGGATGTCCACGATGAGGGCCAGCACCTCGTCCCTGGGAGCCAACAGATTGGGGCCCAGGGAGGAGACCAAGTAGGGTCTTGCTAACCACACATGGGCTGAAACTACCAGTAGAGATCGAAGCCACATCGATACTTACGCGTCTGAGATGCATGTTCCTTGATTCTGGGCCCCCGCTCGCGTCGCCGAACAGAAGGGCAGGCTCATCGTGGGCCCCTTGGCCCGAGGATCCACACCCCCAGAGGGCCAGCGAAACCGCTACACAGGCACAGGGGAGGAGGGAGGAGGAGGGACAGCGGTCCAGTTCGCTGGCAGCATGCCGCGTAGCCAGAAGCACGCTGACGACTCGTGCTGGGTCATCGCCCTCGCCGCCAGACAATCTGAGGCTTTGAACGCCTGAGCTTCCGCACTCTTGCAGCATGACCAACTTCGGTGGTATGCCGTCTCGGGCTGCAAGCGTTATTTGGCGCAGATCGGGTCGACATCTCCGCGTGCCTCCTCCAGGATTCGCTGCCGTGGCCATGTGCCACCGATTGCGATGCAAGGCATCATTTCCGCAAGCTGGTGGCCCTTGGGGCCGACGCCAGACTACGGATGCATTGGCGGTAGGACCTTTTGCCGGCCCCTTCTACCAGCCTTCACTCACAAGCATGAAAAAACAGCTTGAGACCACTGTTGCCTGCGAAGGGTCTGCTCGAATTCGAACAACAGGCCATGTAAATTGGTGTTTGGCCCAAGATCCCCCTCGAAGGCAGAAGCCTCCCTAGACTGGTCCCCCAAGAGTCTGGTGCCGCACTCGGTGGCCGAGACGGGGTCCCACTGCGCCTGGAGGGGGTCGGAGATGAAGGCCCCCGTGGGACGTCTGGCGCGTCTGCTGCGCTGCTTAGGCGCAGGGGCGGCAAACTTGGCCAGAGCCTTCGGCCACGCCTGGCCCGCACCCGCTCGGGATCTGGGCTCTGCGAACCAGGACGTTGGCCATAAGGCGAAGACCCTCGCACGGTAATCGATACCCTGGGCATCGGCGGTCGAACCTGAGGTCAAGTACTGACGTGAATCACCTGCCCCTCTTGGCTGAGCTGGCCACCTGCCCCAGGCCACGACGCACCTGGAGCACACTAGATCCGACAACTCCGTGGTGATGGTGCCAATCGTGGCCCGCTGGCTGGGCCCCTGCCGACTCCAGCCGCATGGCTGGTGCATGTCGACGTGAGGCATGGCCAACGCGGGCAATATTGGCATGCATGGACGCACTTCTGGCGACTCTCTTACGCTGAGTGGCCCCAGCATGTCTGCCAGAGCCTGCGTCAATGCCTAAACAGCTCGCCTGCGAAACTGGGACGACCATGATCCCTCGACGCTTTGAGGGCTGCAGCGACAAACTTGGCATCGCGATGGTCCGATCAGAGAACGACACTCTTGGACGCAACGTTGAGGCCTTCCTCCTCCAGCCCGCGACTGGTGTCTGAAAGAACTCTGGACAAACGATTGCGCATGAAAGTCCTAGACCCCGAGACATACTGCGAGATATCGTCGATCTACAGCCGTATACTGACCATCATATGGAATGTCGAACGACGCGCGAAGATACAATACGTCATGCATCGGGTGACACGCATGCCGCTGCGCAGTCCTTGGATCGCGATTCGACTCGGCTGAGCGCCTCTGGGAAGCATTCGCCTGGAGCTAGACTCTGAGAAATCCCTCACGCAGGGCAGAGTTCCCCAGCGCTGCCGCATCTCAGTGAGGCTGTGACGCCGCAGCCCAGTCTTGCACCATGGGCTCCCGCGCCTCCGACCGGATCCTCGGGATCATCCCCACGAGGCCGACCGTGCGGTCGCCTCCCGACTTCTTCGGGAGCGACCGCCGAGAGTCGGCGGGGGAGGGGAAGCACTGCTAGAACACCATCGTGTCTGTCTGTTGGCGACGCGAGGAGGGCAGGGGACGTCGGGCGCCTCCTCGCGCGCGCACGCGGGGCGCTCCAGACGGGGCCTCGCCTCCGAGGGCCGCAGGAGTTATAGCACCTCCTCATCGGCGGAAGGCCGGCGGAAGGCGGCGGGGGGCGGTTGCGCCAGCGGAAGCTGGCGGAAGGCCGGCGGAGGCCGGCGGACGTAACCATCGGCCCGCCGGGAGACGGCGAGGCTCTTTGGCTCAGGGGTTCCGGGCGCCGCCGTGTGTGCTCCGCCCGCGCTGCTCTGTGAGCGCCTTCGCCTGCTCTCCCGCCTCTGCGCCGCGTGGCCCTCCCGGCAGGCCCCAGCGCGGACCTGCCCTGGGCCGGCGCGAGCGCGGAGGAGTCAGGCCAGCAGCCCAGGCGTCTGTTCGGCTCCACGTAAGAGTGACCTTTCGCCAGAGTGACCTTGGTGCGGGCACACTGGGAACCACAGATGGCTGAGTGCGATGCGGTACCAGTGCTTGGCACGCGGATGTAGCCTCCCTGCGGCCCCCGAAAGTCGCGCACCGAAGGTTACTCTTGCATGGGGTCGCCTTGCGTATAGCCTATCCATCGCCACGAAGAGATCAAGGCTTCGAGGCTTGGAGCCGGCTGGGGGTCTGAGGTGGCCCAGCCCTGTTTTCGGCGAGCAGGAATTTTTGGGGGCCTAGGTTCCGGGTGCTGCTTTCGAGAAGGTCTTTGTTTGCTTTTCCGGCCTCTGGGGGCCGATGCTTTATGGATTTGGCTTCGTCCTCCTGTCTTCATGGATGTTCCGGGGCCAGACTCAGTTCAGACCATCCAGCCGCCTCCAAGGGGAGGGGGCCCAGGCGTCCTCCTGGCATCGCTTGGACGTGTGCATTTTTTTCTCGGCGAGAATCATCGAGGACCATCCTCGACCAACGAGCAAAAGAAACACGCACGAAACCGAAACAAACACAACAAATGGACGTCCGAGCGATGGCGAGTCCTTCGTCACGAAGAGATCGAGGCGGCAGTTTTCCCAGGAGGTGCACACCTGGATTCCAGGCGAGTGGATTCGCGCCGGGCCCCGTGTCCCTGCGAGGTCGGCGCGCTCCGTGGCCGAGTCGGGCGGCACTGGCCTCGTGCTTCGCGGTGTGCATCCCCCGATCCGTGGATCTCCTCCTCCTCCTCCTCCTCCTCCTCCTCCTCCTCCTCCTCTTCCTCCCCCGATTCCCGGATCCGTGATCCATGTCAGCGTGCGCCCGAGCTTATAGTCTCCAGTGTGGGCTTCTGCGGGCCTGCCTCGGGCCCTGGGGCCGTCAGGAGCTGTCTGGGGGGAAGAGCTGTTCCGGGGGAAGGGATCGAAAGGCCTGGCGGGTGGCGCCCAGATGACTGACAAATCGTGTGGGGTGGGGGGGGGGGCGGGGAGCGTCGACGGACGAGTCTGCCAGGCTGCGGGCATGCTTTCTGTCTGTTGGTTTGTTTGCTCGGTTGCGAGCAGGCTGCCCTTCTCGGAAAACGAGGGAGCGCACGGTGTGGCCGCGTCGGTGAGGCCAAGGACCTCTGTCTCGGGTGGTCCAGGCGGGGGCTGGAGCTCTGGCGGATCGACGCGCTCCGAAGAGTGGGAAGGGGTAGGGGGGGAGGAGAAGGGGAGGAGAAGCAGGAGGATCGAGCGCCAAGGATCGAGGAGAAGGGGCTGGAGAAGGGGAGGAGAAGGGAGGAGAAGGGGCTGGAGAAGGGGAGGAGGAGGGGAGGAGGAGCGAGGAGAAGGGGAGGAGGATAAGGAGGGGGAGGAGAAGGGGCTGGAGAAGGGGAGGAGAAGCAGGAGGAGAAGGAGAGGGGGATCGTCCGTCGTGGTCGAGAACAAGGATCGAGCGCCAAGGATCGAGGAGGGTCGAGCATTGCGGATGGTGGACGGTCTGGAGGCCTCTGGGGACCTCCTTTGGTGCCATTCGTTGCTGTCTTACCCCCCCAGCCCCCGAAGGTAGCGGGCGGATTCTGATGTTATGATTCTCTTCCCACCCGACAGATAGGGGTCGTTCGATTTTAAGAACAGACCTCCCAAGCTGCCCACCCCGTGGCCGCCAGATCCCCAGGTCCACCGACAATCACCGAGGCTCCCGCCCCTCCCGACCCGACCTGCCGACTCTGCATACCGCGACCCCAGATCCCCAGTTCTACCAAGAATCCCCGAGACTCTCACACCTGTGAACATGACAGAGCATAACCTGACTAACAGCATAGAGCAGACCATGCCACATCGTGCCAGAACATAGCACCACGACTGAACACATCATGCCATGAAACATATCACATAATCACATAAAATGACATACCATAGTACATCACATCGTGATCAGACAGGGCGATTTAGATGTACCCTACCATACAACCACGTAGCGTAACACATCATATCATGACACACCACATGTCCTCACACATCATGAAGGCACACGCCACGACACAACACGGCGTCACGTACCATAGCAAACCATAACATGATAACTTATACCACGGCAGAGCGCGACAAATCATCTCATAAGATAGCGTGGCAGCACGTACACTAGCACATCATACACTAAGGCAGCCTGACATCACATATCACACTACAACACAACCTCGAGACCAGCATCGCATAGTAACCTACTCCATGACATAATGGAGCACATTTTACTATAGCATCGCATTCCCCAGCATGACCACGACGGAACTGCATGCAATCTGACCGCATAGCTTGCAACGCTTGGAAGGGGGAACCATCTTACGTAATTCCGCACTGCATAACAGCATGGACAAGATACACCGTCATCATCATATTATAGCAGTATAGTTGTATCACTGGTACCGCTATGACAGCGACCGTGGTATACCAGCATCGGTTATACGATAATTGGCGAGGCGCGCCATATTATGAACATATGACAGCATAGCTGAGCTCATAAGCTATAGTGCCACAAACAGGATGGAGCATAGCATACCAGACGATCACACCAGAACATATCACTTCTTCCTATGACATGGCTGAACATCTCATAGTGCGTACACGTTGACCTATGATAGTGGAACGCAGCTGAAGAGGATCATCATACATACTCGACCGCGCGTTAATACCCGCCACCACGCTTGCACTGGTTGGTGTGCGTCGGGTTCTTTCGCCTCTTGCGAAGCAATATGTACGGCCGCCCGACGCATCAAGCCTAACATGCGCTCATGTGTGTGGCCCATTCCCTGCGCTTTTGGCCTTCCAGGCAGAACATTGTCCCAAACACGTCCGCGGAGGGGAGGTCCATGGACCCTCCCCCTGACCACACCCACCTCCCCCACCAAGGCGCCCTCCGCCCCCCCGCCCACCCGAGTGCGGTGGCGGAATCATGCGGCAGCGCAAAACAACATAGAAATCGCAGGGGACATCTGTTTTTTATTTGAGCATATTGGTAGTTCGAGCACGTAACTCTGTGTGCTGTTATTAACGACGATAGCTAATTAGAGCAGATTGGACCCTCGAGGGATTAGCGGGAATTCGCCCGACTTTTCGCGGGGGCCCGGGGGCGGGCCCGGGGATTCGACCCTCCCCTGAGAAGGCCCCCAGAAATTCCAGGGGGGTGAGGAGGGCCCGCGGCGGGGCAGCGAGAACACCCGGGGCGTTCGTGGAGGGCGTCGGCAGCCCCCTGGTCTCGCCCCCCGCTCGCCCCTGACTCCCCCGCCCATTTGTCGCCCCCCCTCATCCTCGCCCTTCTCAGAGGAGGAGTGGGAGGAGGGCGACGGCGAAGGAAGTGCGGAGCTGGACGCGCAGGCCCCTTAAATTCAACTTTCGCCGCGGGCCCGGCGCGGAGCCTCGGGGAGAGAGGGGGCGATCATAACCCCAACCAAACAGCGATCGGCATTCCGGCGCGCTCGCGGATCCCCCAGGGGGGGTGGAGCGGGGTCAAGGATCGCTGCTCGCGCTCGTCTGCTCGCGGCTGCGGCCTTTCGATCGGCCGGCGCCGTTTCCCCGTGCGCGCGGCCGCGCGCCGCCCAGGCGCGCGTCGGCCCCGTGGGGCGAGGCTGTTGTTCGGGGACGCGCTTGCGTTTCTCTTCGCTTATTCCCCACCAGTCTTCGCTGTTGTCGCCCATGCCGCTCGTCGCTCATTTCTCCTTTTTTTCACGACGGCGTCCCGGGTCAAATGTGCCGCAGGTCCCCTGCTGAAAAACCAGCATTCCATACATGTATACGTGGAATATCCAGTCGCGCGCATCGATGAGTCGCCTTGCGGGGCAGAGCAGAGCGCGTGGCGCTGCAGCTGGATGCTGGCAGCGCGGCCGGGGACGTAGGCATTGACGGGCATGGTGTCGCGGGGCAACAACCCACGACCCAGGCGGCAGCGCGATGCCGCGCCCGCGCGCGCTCACTTCGACTGCGCGTCGGTTTTTTCACGGCAGGGGAGTGCCGAGCGGGCGTTGCAGTGATATTCCATTTCTTTCGTTCGCGCCGGTGGGGGCCACGCGT